CTACACGAGGAAGAACCCTGGGCCATGTCAGCCCAAACCAGCTCCTCAGGGGCAATCACCAAGGAAAGTCAGGAGCCACCTCTTCCCCCCAGGCACCGCAGGTTGTTTCAGCTGCTGAAAAAAGCCCACAGCCAATTTTTTTCAACAGGAAAGGTCATCAACCCAGTTTAAGTGAAAAGGAGCAGTTGCTTGTTTGGTTTAAATGCAGTATGCTTTCCTAGCTCTTAGTAACTGAAAAAATTAACAAGTGTTTTCACAGGGTTAAATGTCAAAGATATGTGATCTAACCCTTTGCAGAGCAAAGCTGTCTAGGTTTTATTCCTCATCAGGTGTCCTGCTCAGTGATGGACAGGGGTTCCCATGTTTGTAAAATACTTCTGTAAACAAAAAAGATGCCCGGTGGCTGGACTGAAAGACATGGAAGAGCATGAGTCTTGGATAGAGTAAGTAACAATAAGTAAAGTCTTTTAGCTTGGGGAAAGTTAGTGGCTATGAAAGATAAAATTAAAAGAGACCTAACGTACTTAACAGTGAGCAGCAGAAATGCCAGGACAAAGAACCCCCTGCTCATATTTGGACTCTACCTCTGTATGTCACAGAAGTGTGTGTTGGAACACCTAAGCTCCTACTTCCTAGTGACCTCCCTGTTAAAAGTAGTAATTTCTCCTCACTTTGTCTGCAATTGTTTATGCACACAGAACAAGGGTCCCTTCCAACTGAAACCATTCTCTGACTCTATGAAATACCATTTTACTAAACAGATACTGCTTCATCTGTGACTGGATTAAAGTCTGTCCTTCCTGATGAACATTATTATGACAGAGACTTATCTTGAATAAATTAAACACAGTGATTCATGTGCATGAGCATAAGCAACTGTATTACAAATTTTTTTTACCATTTTGCTTACAAGCAACTGTCACACTTTGACTCAAAATGGGCAATTAAACCAATGACAATAAGAAAAAAAAAAAAAATCAGTAAAAGGAAAATCGGCTTCATCCTGGATCAAACCAGGACAGCAACCCAAACTCCTAAACAGATATTAAAAATTTGTTTACGATCAAGAGAACCTGTGATTTGTAGCAACCATAGAGTGAGCCAGAGCCTGTCATCACATTACTGAACGCATCACTCAGCCTCCCGCCAGCTTCAGCGCTGCTCCAGCAGCAACTGCCAGCTCGGAACGTGACCTTGGGCTACACGAGACAAGGAGAAAAAAGGGGTAGAAGGACATAATTAGACATAGGCCTGACGGTTGCAGATTTTGTACCAGCATTATCACAGATTCACAGAACCTTAATTTACCCATGGATTTACCTGTGGATTTTCCACCACCTGAGTTCTCCAGGAATTAGCTACACAGAATCATGGAGTGTCAGAGGTTGGAAGGGACCTCTGAAGACCATCTAGTCCAACCCCTACCAGAGCAGGATCCCTTAGAGCAGATCCCACGGGAACACATCCAGGAGGGCTGGGAATGTCTCCAGGGATGGAGACTCCACCACCTCCCTGGGCAGCCTGTCCCAGGGCTCTGCCACCCTCCCAGCAAAGAACTTTCTCCTCATCTTCAGCTTGACCCCCCTGGGCCCCTTGTCCTGTCCCTGGGCACCACTGGGAAGAGTCTGGCCCCATCCTCCTGCCACCCCCTGCAGATATTGATCAGCACTGAGCAGATCCCCCCTCAGCCTCCTCCTCTCCAGGCTCAACAGCCCCAGCTCTCCCAGCCTTTCCTCCCAGGCAGATGCTCCAGCCCCCTCAGCATCTCAGTGCCCTGGGCTGGACTCTCTCCAGCAGCTCCTTGTCCTTCTGCAACTGGGCAACATTGTTGGCTCATGGTCAGCCTGTTGGCCACCAGGACTCCCGGGTCTTTTTCCCCAGATCTGCTCTCCAGTAGGTCAACCCCCAACCTGTACTGGTACCTGGGGTTGCTCTTCCCCAGATGGAATACTCGACACTTGTACCTGTTGAACTTCATTTGTTCTATGCATTGACATTAGAGAACTTTCAGATTTGCCTTTCTGGAAAAGCTTAACCCACCAAACACAAGGAATTCACAAGGTGTTTAGAGACAGAGAAAGCCCAGATGAAGAGCAGACCCAAATCCTCTCCAGTTCCACCAGCTGATCTTCCAAACATCTGAACCACCACAAAGGAGCATCAGCCACAGAAGTGGGAGAATTATCATCCCTTTCACCAGCAGACGAGTCATTTAGCCTTCTGCTCATCACTGCTCCTGTCGCACAGTTTAAGTATTGCCTGGATGTGCAATTTCAGGAGCTAGCATTTTGCTGTAATACACACACTGGAAGCTACAGTGGAAATCTGCCCTGGTGGAAGAGAAACACCTTCTGCCTAAGAAACACTCCTCTCCCTGTCACCAGCCTGGAAGCACTTGGAACTAGATGCTCAGTGGGAGCAAGGAATGAAAATAAACAAAAAAGTTAGGCATATTTTCCTCTTTTCCTCAGGAAGGTGAGGTACACAAGGAAAATTTCAAGTTCAAATAGAACTAACTAACCAAAAAAACCCTTTAGCTCACAAACAAAAGGGAAGTTATTTGCATAATATTTAAATTATTACCATAGCAGCTCACTTGAAATGCTTGCTAAATTCAGAAAATAGTTCAAGTTTCACAAGACCAATGTTCTGAAAAGCCTTCTGAGTAAGATCTTCTCTGTAGAGATGTTCTTCCATAGCTACCTCAGGATGAACACAGACTCTACATCTAACATACGTGGCCTACAGCACAATCTTCCTTCTAGTTTACTCTGCAGTTACACTGAAGCATTAACACAGTATTTTTCAGACACATGCTACCAACCTGTGAACAGGCAAAGTCAAAATTAGCATGGAGCACAGTTCAGTTTCTTATGCTAATTGTGCCAACTTTCTCCTCAGAGCCACCTGGCACCTACACGGTCTGCGATGAAACACACAGGTAGGAGTTGCTACACATTAGTGACACCCCTCCCCCACCTCACCAAGCCATACACACTCATTTTCTGCCCTAAATGAAACTTGTCGAGGACACCGAAGTGTGTTTTCTGGCACTTCTGAGCTCAGTTTAACAGTGCTAATTACCACAAGACAGGCCCAGCTCTAGACGGCCTCGGGCAGCCCCACACAGGAAGGAAAAACCCCATCGTGGCAGCAGACACAGCACGGGGGAGGCTGTGAAGCCTGGCGCGGCCTCAGCCCTGCACGGTTACCGGCGCCCAGACGAAGCCCCGGGGCCGCCCGTTGGGTTCCTGACAGGACGAGC